AGAGGCCGCCGCCCCCACCCGGGCATGGCAGAAACCTACGGGTGCCCACAAGAAATTCTCCCAAATAGGCGTCCGAACAAAGCCTTCGTGCCTACTCTCAGATATAGCGCCATACGAAAAAAAAAATTAAATTTAGTTAGAATTGAAAGTAGAAATGGGTTAGGTCACACGTCTAAAATGTAAATATATTATCTACTGTAATTTTATGATAGTTTAGTATGATATCTACAGCATGTTCTTATGCTGTATATAATGTTTACTCTTATAGCATAATATATTTGAATATATTATGCATACTTTATCATTTTGCAATTAAAATTAAGCTTTTATCGAATGCCCGAATCATATTATATTTATACCTTAATAAGTTAATAAAGTTAATAAATAATAAGTTATATTATTTAATTTAGTATTATAAATTAATATAATATAATATAATATAATTATATATTTATATTATTATTATTTAATTTATTATTTATAAGTTATTTTATTTTTATCGAATGCCCGAATCATATTATATTTATACCTTAATAAGTTATTAAAGTTAATACCTTTATAATATACCTCTTTAGTGTGTGTTGAGACATGTTGTTTATATGTAGTTTTACTGTGATTTATTTATTATTATTTATTAATTATGTCAACTGTCAGTTATAAATAAATAAATAAATATAATATTAAAACACGAAGATTGACTATGCGACTAACATATTACCATCCCAACTTCAAGAAGACTGGTGGTGCTCATTACAAAAACCAACGGAAGATCTGTTCGAATCATTTCTTGGAGCGATCAGAAATACATATACATAGCTACAAAGTACTACATGAAAAAAGTAATAAAGTAGAAATACTGCATTATAAAGATAAGACAATTTACTTTTGTAGATAGAAAATAGGTGTTGATACCATACTTCAAAATTACGATAGATAAATTATTCATGGTAGATAGCATATTGGACGAGTACCTAGAAATATTATAAACACTAATTTATTTTAAACCTAAAAAACTTGCAAATTTGTATTCTAACATGAACTGAATCAAACAATTCACAATTTATGTTTTTTTTTTTTTTTTTTTTTTTTATTAGGGTTAAGGCTTTGACAACTGAGGTCATTAGCCTGGAGAACTGTAAGGGAAGGTACTGTAGGTTTTTAACACGTGGGTTTTTTTGGCAGAATTTTGAATGGGCACCCGTAGGTTTCTGCCATGCCCGGTTTGGGGGCGGCGGCCTCTCTCTCCAGACATCGCGAAATGCCCAAAGAGCGATGCCGCCTGTGACCGAGATTTGAACCGGCAACTGCGTGCGTCGCAACAGACGCCTTAGTCCGCTCGGCCACTCCACCCCCACAATTTATGTTATATAGCGGTATGGTGGTAGTTATATAGGTCTACGGTTCATAATAAATAATTTAAAACGTATAGAATTTTTTTTCAAAAATTCATTATAAGAGTATTTTATTTTATCCCGTCTTTCATGGTATTCACAGCAGAGCACCGTGGCTAATATTTGGTCCAAAAAAGAGCACCACCATTTCTTCCTTATTTCATAACATTAGTTATCCAACATTAGAATTAATTAATATTCTACAATATTGTTAAAAATTTAAAAGCTTTAGTTAGTAGTTTTAGTATTTTATAAAATAAAAAATATACTTAATGACGAATCAAATAATAAAATTGATTGTTTAATAAATCATAAGTATTTATTTTATAATATAAAGATAAGCCATCACACAGCAGTTTTTGGTGACTAAAGTTTATTATCAGCTACTAGAAATCCGCTAACTCTAAGGGCAATTTAAATGGAATAGCAAACCTAGCGGCTGACAGAATAATTTTAGTCACCAAAAACTGCTATGCAATAGATTATATTTATATTATACAATCAATGGTTTAACATTACCTATTTATTAGGTGATTATTTAATATATTTTTAAACTTTAACGTAAATAAAATAATATTCTACAATAAAAATTACCTTCTACTTTAGGAAGAACATCCATATAAACTCTGTATAGTATGGGCAAGGCTCCTTTTGAAATGTGAAGATCAGGTAGATGTGGAATAAAATCATTACCAACTAGAAAACCCATCAACACCTAGAAAGAACCATACTCAAAATTAGATGCTTATATTTATTTAGTTTAATTGATTGATCTTATTTTAAGGTCGGAACTACCAATTTCTAAATTTTAATTATATTTATAAGTTATAACACTTCTCAAAATACATAAAACTGAAATATGAAGAGTAATTTGTATCTCATTAAACTTATGTTCAAAGAATAATAACTCTTAATGATTTTTTTTATTGAGAATATAAAATGTATGACAAATTTAGTCAAATACTTATTAATTGATATAATTCCTAACTTATACAAATTAATAGATATTAATATTAATAACAACTATTTTAAAATCAAGGTACTTCCACAAGCTCTTAATAGCATAGACATATTCTTAGAACACTAAGTGCAACAACTCAAAAACTACTAGCTTAAGCTTAAACTTATTATTTATTATCATTAATTTATTTTAACGATTAACAACAAAATAATCTACTAAATATTTTGCATTAAAAAAGGGTAGTTCTGATTTAAAAATAATGAGTTTAAACTATCAAATAAAATAAAGCTTAAATATGTTGTCTTCAAGTGTACTAAAAATAAATGTGGAAATAGCATGCTTGGTCAATCACTCTGTCAATCACCCATCTATAAAGTAGACCAACATCCATTAAAATTTTAAGATGCCTCTTAACAAATACTCATAATCATCATTGTTCAGCAACAATAATCATTTAGGTATCAAATATAATGCTAAAATCTGATATCTAAGATCAACAGTTTGATGGAACAGGTATTTATAAAAATTATAGGTGTTAATAAGGATTCAGTTACATGTAATTATAATTATAATACAATGATTTCTAATAAATACTTGTTATCAATTTAACTAGTTAAGAATATTTAAATAAGAAATGAAAAAAAAAATTGTAAAAAAAATAAAATGGTGACATCTATTGGCTATTACATAATATGGTATTTATATATTAGGTATTAACTATTATAATACATAACATGTACATTTACCCAATCATCAATAATAGACTCCAAATTATATTCAAAAGGTAAAGTCTCTTTGAGTTCTTGAAATTCTAATCCAAGATAATCTCTCATTAATGATAAATGTAAAAGATAAAATTTTGTTTCATCTACAGATGTTTCTTTTTTAGCTTTACGTCCAAATTTGACCTATTATACAATACAATGAATATGGTATATATTAGTATATAATATTTATAACTAAAAAGTTRGTATTTAAAATGTATAGATATCAAATGTTAAAGAATTACCTCTTCTCTGAGCAATGAAAAGTATGGTTCATGTGTACACAGTCCCAACATGATTAAATCAGCATCCAAACCATAGAGACAATGTCTCGTATGAGGATTATATCCAGGGCGAGATTTCATATATCTAATGTAATCCATAATTTTATGTTCACCCTCACCAGGTACTTGGTGTCCAGATAATATCACTTGAACCTTAGTCCATAATGGATCGTTCGACATTTTATCGGCAACAAAATATTCAAGCTCACTTTGCAAGCGTACCATAAATGGGGTACCTGGTGTAATACAATTAGAATCAAAACGCTCTTCTGAAGGTAACGTTTCACCTCGAGAAATTGCTTCTTTCGTTTGTTCTGCAGCTGTATGGGCTGATCGAAAACGTCGACCACGTTGTTGATTCATTTTTGCTCGAGGAGCAACACCATCAATAGCCATGAAGAACAATTTTTGTGGTTGAATCATTTGAAATAATACCTAAATATAAACAAAAACAAAACATTTAACAATAGAAATATATTATGATATGACTATGTTAGATATTATTATTGAACCTCCAAATAGTGGAAGATATTTTTAACAATAGTCTCTTCTGTTATACGAAAATGCGGATCATCGTCATTTGGATGCGAACAATTGTGAATAATACCATTCATATCTAAGTAGAGATTATCAAACTCTGGAATCTGCAACATATTAAAAATTCAATAGAAGTACTGATGATTATAGTTTAAAGAAATTAATACCTGATAGTCTTTAACAAGCTCACTGAGACAAGGATATCGCTCACTCATATAACGGAAAAACTTGGGTACCCCCATAATGAATAAAACGTTTTAAAATTGAATTCAAAAACTATCGTTTAATTTAAAAATAAGAATTATTAACAAATTTCCTTCGAAAGTTATAAAATAAAATAAAATTAAATGCTTATCGACTTAGTGGTCTTGTTTTGCAAAAATATAAACATTAAACACTAACAGTAGTAAAATTATACAAGTAGGACAAACCACTAGAGCATAACTGTATATAGTAGGTTTGAGCGCATGACTGTGAACTGTGAATTATTTGGTCATGATAATACTGATCAGTGCAGTGTACATACTACTTATCTACATTATATCGGAGTTGGATTATGGACTTTGGACTTTTGGAGTCGGGAATCGGTTGATTTGGTTGTTCACGAGTCACGACAGTTCAGACGTACAGAATTTCAGAAATCGGAATTAAATGTACAACACTACCACAATTTATGCAACAGTTCAACTATACAAACTGTAAATATAACCTTAAATATTACGTCCAACTGATAACAATTTGATAATAACGATATTTTTTTCTTTGGAATTTTTAGTTTAGTACTATATTTAATATTTAATGGTTTCTGAAAATTTTTATTTTTCATTCATTATACAATTCAAATTAAAAATTTGTCTTGTTTTATGAGGTAAAATTTAATATGTAAGTCTACTGGTAATTTAATAAACATATAATATATAATTTATTATAGTTTTTAACGCATCTAAAATGTTTTAATGACCTTAGTAATACAATACTTTTTATAAATAGGACTTGAAAGTTGAAAAATTATCCATATAAGGATACACCACGAATGAAAAATAAAATACTTCATAGAATTTCTCGTTTCTATTTAAATGAATATAAATTATTCAAATTATGTACACAGTGTACATTGTTTTATTTTATTTATTCAATGTTATTGTATGCCAACATGATCATGGCCATTCCAAAACAATGTATGACAAATGTAAGTATGAATTTGATTTTAAGAATTATTTATATTTGCTTAAAAATAAATGTTTACTTTTTAAATAGCCATTAATTTATTATTCAATTGCTATTCTTGTGCATTTATTCAGTATCCAACCAAATTATTAGCAAAATTAACAAAGCTAAAAAAGAATACACTCCTTGTGAAACAAAGAATGGAACATGTTTTTTTCCAAACATTTTGAAAGATCTAGAGCCATTTAAAGATGGTATTACCCATGAAATGATAACTGCAGCAGCAGACAAGTAATGTTTTATTACAACTTTTATTCTCAATTGTTATTTTAATTTTTATTTTAGAGGAACTCGTTATATGATTTTTAATCATGACTTATACAGAGAAACTAAGTGTATGTTTCCAGCCCGCTGTGAAGGTATTGAACATTTTTTAACCAAAATTCAATTAAATACTCCAGATGTTGAGTTCATTTTAAATACACGAGATTGGCCCCAAATAATAAAACATTATGGTGATCCTAAACCAGTATTTTCTTTTAGCAAGGTGAGAGTACTAGTTTTCTACTATTTGATTGTTAGTTTTATAATTACTTAGTCAATTAATTATATAAATTGATCAATCTGTTTCCTAGACAGATGATTATGCTGATATAATGTATCCTGCTTGGTCTTTTTGGAGTGGAGGGCCAGCAATTAAACTGCATCCATCAGGACTTGGCCGATGGGATTCTCTGAGAAAATCTATTTTGAAAAAATCTGAACAATGGCCATGGAAACAAAAAATGTCTAAAGGGTTTTTTCGAGGTTCTAGAACTAATGAACAGCGTGATTCGCTCATAGTTTTATCAAGAAATGAACCAGAACTAGTCGATGCAGCATATACAAAAAATCAAGCCTGGAAATCTAATAAGGTACATACAGTAATTAGTGTATCTATCTAATACCCCAATGATGACAATAATTAATAATGAATTGATTGCATTGATTATAATATATTGTTATTAATAACATTTAATATTTATAGGATACACTTTTTGCTCCACCAGCAGATGAAATATCATTAGAAGACCATTGTCAATATAAATACTTGTTTAATTTTCGAGGTGTAGCAGCTAGTTTCCGTTTCAAACATCTGTTCCTATGTAAAAGTCTTGTTTTTCATGTAGGAGAAGAGTGGAAGGAGTTTTTCTATCAATTTATGAAACCTTGGTATCATTATGTACCAATAAGTCCAAATGCATCCGAAAATGATATTAAGTAATTTTGCTAAATGTTAATTACAATTTAAATTACAATTAAAAAAAAAAAAATTAATCTATCTTCTTATGTTTCAGAAATATTTTAGTATTTTTCAAAGAGCATGATGATCTAGCCAAAGAAATTTCAGAACGAGGTTATAGATTTATCAGAACTCATTTAAGAATGAAAGATATAACATGGTATTGGGAAACACTGCTGCATGAATATGCCAAATTATTAAAGTACAAACCAAAACTAGACAATGAACTWCACCTAGTTAATAGGTGATCTTCTACCAGGCATAATGTTTTTGAATTTTTCAACAATATGAACATAATATATACCGTAACAGTTTTAAAAATTTATAAAGACTGCTGTAATTAACAAAATTGTATTTCACAAAAAAAGTATTATTAATTTAAATTTAAAAAATATTTCATTAAAATCAAATTTATTATGATTTGTACTGCCATTTAACCGAGTAATATTTATAATGGTCATATATTAATATCAAAAACAATTATTGAATTTAAATGGTGGCTATTTCCGATTAACGCCTATTTAGAAGTTTATTTTAAGAAAAATGATTATTATAATAGTAAAAATAATAATAAACAGCATAATATTGAAACAAATTTATTCGGAATTAAGTAACGACTATAAAAAAAATATGTTACACTAAAACACAGTTCACTAAACACAAGCATGTTGTTGCTAAAGCATATATATCTTTATTCAAAATCTGAACTAAGATACTATGTACAAAAATAAATAAATATATAATTTAAAATATGTATGTTTATATATATATATAAATATATACATACAAAATTGTAATTAAGATATACAGAGTTAAATTTTTTAGTGGCATAACAGATAAATGTAAATCATTAGGTAACTATGATTTCAATCTGCATAAGACAGCTGGGCATAACCGACTAACATTTTCTCATCTGGTGTTTCATCACTGTTGCAGCCTGATACCTAAGTGATAAAATTGGATTACAATTCCATGCCACAGTTAAATATAAAATGCATACTTACAAGAGCAAAAGTTACTGGTCTATCGCGAGTTTGATTACCTATCAACACACGTAGATTCATAGCTATTACATCAGCATCTTTGCCGTCTACCAATCCTGCTCCCACTAGTTCAGTGGAAATACCATCGGGAGTGTCATTTCCCAATAAGAACTCAAATCGAATATCATTAAGTTCACGATTAGAGTTTCTAAAAATATATATGTATAATTAATAAATGTTAATATCTAACAGTATGTATTTTTTAAATTTGGTATAAATATTAAATTTTATAGCTCTGTTTATTTAAATATTAAATAGGTATAGCCGTAAAGGTTTTGGCACTTAGACCAATATTTGTATTACTTATTTATGTATATTCTTTGCTTAAGGTAGTTAATATGATCTAAACCCAAAATAAATATGAATTAAACTCTGTTTAAATTGATTTAGGACAATAAGTTATAAAAGGTTTTAAAAATGTCATTACTTTCCACTTATATTTGAATAATTTTATTTTTAGAACTTTTAATAGGTACAACTGTAACAATTATTTAATTAATTATTAGTACATATTATAAATTTTGATCTACATTTTTTTCTAATGAAATATCAAGAATTGCATTAAAAATATCTTGCATGAAGTTATAATGTTATAATATGATGAAAAACAAAACAAACCTCATACGTAGAACAAGATTCAAGTGTTCATCACCACTTTCGTGTTCACTATCAGATGATTGAGGGGCCTCAACTAATTTGTTTAACGGTTTTTCTTGACACTAAAATAATAGTGCAAAAAAGTTGTAAAGTTTTTATACCACAACATTAATAATCTCATAAATTTTTTACTTCATCATCTGATGACTGTCCATCACATTCTTCTTCAGATGACCATGTCCATTCTCCAGTAATTGTTCTATGTAATCTGCCAGATGTGCCAGGTTGTCTTTTTGATGMCTATCACAAATAGATGATTATATATTTAGAACTTTAAAAACAATATTTTCAATTAAAGTACAAATACAAAAATATATAAAACAATATTTCTGTTTAAGTATAAAAATCTACCTTTTGTACTCTAGTTTCTAAACTAGGACCAATAGCAATTAAAGTTGATTGAAGGTATTTTTTATCTTTGGCTTTCTTAAAAATTGGATGTTTGAGAAGTTCTGTAGCTGTAGGCCTATATAACAAAAATACAAAAAATTACTGAAAATGTATCTAGCAAAAGAAAAATGTAATTACCTTTTGGTAGGATCTTTTTGCAAACAATCAGTAATAAGTTTTCGAAAAGTTTTACCATAAGCTTTGTATTGATCTTTTTGATCAGCACCAGTATCTAATGTAGGTGGATCATTTTGAAGTGTCAACATAAGAACCTTCATTGGTGGATACTTGTGATATGGAGCTGTTCCAGTAGCTAACTCAATGGCTGTAATTCCCAATGACCAAATATCTGCTTTGAAGTCATATCCGTGGTCCTAATGTATTTTTTTTCGGACGGTTTAGAGTTTCGAGCTTAGCGTTCGGTGTTTACCGATTGCATTAATTTTAGTTAAATGTTTTGCTTTACCGTGTGTACCTGTTCCATGACTTCCGGAGCCATCCAGCAAGGTGTGCCAACAAATGTGTGACGAACCTTTTGACGATTAGTGTCATACCCAGTAGTTAACCATGCACTCACTCCAAAATCGGCTATTTGAACTGTTCCATCTTCTCCCAGAAGAATATTTCCAGCCTTTATATCTCTATAAATATAAAAATAAAAAGTTATTATAAATTCTTTAAATATATAAAGCCGACTATGAAAGAGTACCTATGAATTTGACTATTAGAATGGAAATATTCCAAGCCCTTCAAGACTTCTCTTAAAACAGTTGCAATAGTAGCTTCATCAAGAACACCGTGTCGACAATCACTTGTACGCATTTTATGTTTTAGTATGTCGAGTAATGATCCCCCTTCTAGCAAACGTAATACTAACCACAATTCATCACCAACTACAAAACTAGTATGATACGTTACAACATTTTCATGCTGACACCATGACATAGCTTGTATTTCTTTCTACAAAGTATGAAAAACAAATTATAATGATTATTAACTATAGATTAAAATATTAATGATTACTGTTAATTCGTCCATGCTGGTATTCCATTTTTCTAAATTTATTTTCTTGATGGCACATTTTTCTTGACGAGGCTTACAATAAGCACAATGAACAGTAGCTGTAGCACCAACACCTAAAATATAACAGTTATTAGTTAGTATAATTCATACAATCAAAACAAATAAGTTTAATTAATTTGTATTGTTAATTAAATATATTCATAGCAGAAAATAAGTACTTAAACATTTACCTTAATAAAAATTACAAAATTGTATAATATTAATGTAACAAATTTGTATAATTTTTAATAAAGTTGGTCAAAGAAAATAATTTAATGTACCTATACATTTTGAAGAATTTGTACAACAAAAATTAATATTGTAAAATTATCTAAAAGTTCATGAGTTAAATAACTATTAAATACATACTATATAACAGTTAAAAACATTATTAATTAGTATCATATGGCTAGTATATACTTAAGCAATGTTTTAAATATTAGTCTTGAACACTTATCTGTAAAAATGTTGAAAGTTTTTATTGTAATTTATTATATACCTATATTTAAAAACTAATAACAAAACACTATATATGAAAGAATAGGGATTTCAATTATATTTAATTTTAATTTACAGTAAATTATATTGATAATTATGCTTATATGCCTACAAGATATATTTAATTAATAGATTTGCACGAAGTATATTATACATAACTATTTCAAAAATGTAAATTTATTTTAATTGGCATACTATTTATTTAGATGCATATTAAATAGACTTTTGGTTAAATCATAAATTTAATAGATTATTGTGAACTAAAATATAGAATACCATAATATAATAAATATAAAAATACTGATTAAACTGAAACTACTTACAATTCCCAACAAAATGTTCTATATTACTATACTAAATCTACTTTGTTAAGCATCAATTTTTTAATTTATATTTAACTACTATTATACAAATTTAATCAGCACTGGTTCATATTTTTATTTTTAAATTAAAGAAAAAMATATAGATTCAATTTCATTAATCAAAAGTACTAATTTATATGATTTATATTGTTTTACATGGTTAATCTATAGCAAAAAGTACCACTGTAGTACAGGTTATTATATAACTATATATATATATATATATATATATTTGTATAAAATGTTTACTCAATGTTCAACAATATATACTAAAATATTAAATTAATATGATGGCATAAATGATTCATTATTTACTTTCATAATATTAAAACTCGAATTCATTAAATATTCTTATAGCTAGGTACTTGAATATTTATAACACATACCTAACTCTAGTCTTTATTGACAAGAGTAATTATGCACAATATAGGTACACAACTTAATTTTGTTTTCTATAACCTAAAGTTTGGTGATTTATATCTGGATATATTATTTATTTTTTATTTTTTTTTAAATAAGAATATTTCTAAGCTAAGGTATACATCATTAAATGTTATCTACATAAAATATTTCTTTATGTTATTTACTCATGTAACAAAATTGTAACTAATATCATAGTAAATAATACTTTTGTAAATGCCCCCAAAGATAATAAGAGACTAATCATGACACAGGTAAATATAGCCTATATGGTAATACTTTACACATTATATATAGGTGTATATCAGGTAGGTATGTATTTAGGATTTATAATATTGGAGATTTAGTTGTTAGTTAAGTTATGTTTTAGTTAAAACAATATAGTTATTGTTTTATACATTTTTTGTATCCCTTTATTATATTAAATTTTAACTTATTACCTAATTAATTTATAACAATAAACCAATTTTGGGATTATTAAATTTGTGAAATATCGTCACAATTCAACAGGACATGTTGAGTATTGACCAAGTGGAAAAACCTTATATTTCACCGGACAAGTTGAAACTCTAAATCTAAAGAATGAATAATTGTGGTTGCTGATAATCGATAGACAATGATATCACTTGGTTGTATTCAACTCAACTAGTGACAATAATTTGATCGTCAGTGAGATAAGTACGAAAGTACAATAACTGAGAGATGTGGAAGTAAATCGACAGTGTGGTGGGAGGGTAACAGAGTAGTGAAGCGGGTTCGGGTTGACGGAGCAGAATGGGCAGACGACATGGAAACATCTGTAGAAATCGTGCGGCAAAATGAAAACGACCGTTTGGATGCCGATTTCGGTGCGATCATAGTCTCGAACCCGTTTGCCGGGATAATAAAAAGCAAAACAATAATAATAATCATTCATTTATTTTAGAAATCGTTACGATATAACCTAAAAAATCATTTAAAACGAAATTATATGACGAGCACGACCGGTGTCGGCGAGTGGGGAGCAGGCCAGGTGATGCACAGTGGCGTACAGCGGGTCTTCGAAGGGTGGCGTTCGGGCGAACACAAGATTCGCCATTCGGTAGATGACGAGCCACCAACGCGTCAGAAATCGCATGTGTTCGGTATTGCACTATTGCGATCGGACACCATCAACAGCTGAACGAGAATATTGTGTGATAAGAATACGAGTGAGATTACCAATGACTTCGCGGAGTTCGTAACTGTCTCGGGTGTTCGGCCAGACGACAGAAGCCGGCGCGGCAGCTGAAGAAGCGGCGGTTGCCGTTAAAGGAGCGTTATCCGTGGCTGTGGGATTGCTGCTGGTAGTGGCGGTGGTCGTCGTCGACGATGGCGCCGCCATTTTACCGCTGGCTGGCACTACAACGTGCCGGTGCTGTTGATGACCCGATAGGATTCGCGACGACGCCGACCGAACAGGCGCAATGGCATTTTACGACTGCGGCGGACGGCAATGCTGAATGCACTGGCGGCGGTGGCTATCGCCGCTTGGTCGTGTGTGGTTGCGGTGATATCGACGGCGGCGGTCGACGTCGACGTCGTTCCAACTCAGTTGGCGGCGTTGGCGCGCGCACGCAATGCAGCTGGCGACAACGTCGTCGGTTGACGCGAGCGCGTTTATAAATAATATTATACGATGGTATTATTTCATATACACACACATTTATATAATATATATACACTGGCGATAACAGTGTTATATATGATACATATATTTAAATTTTAAATATATACTAACTGTTAAAAAATCACGGTTTTACGGTAATACGGTGGTGCGTGCGTATTACTCAATTATATATAATATATATTATATTCCCGAACAGTCGTACGCGTGCGAAACGTAAACCTAGTCGTTCCGCGTTCGGGTATTCTCTGCTGATCGCCAACTGTGTGTCCGGTGTGGCACTGTGGCGCGAGGAGTGTAATGAATAAACAACGCTCCGCCTGTGCGCGCGTGAAATGTGATTAATAATTACGTGTTGCGACTCGCGGAACGACGCTATCGCGCACGCGTGTATAYATAATAGTGTTAGAATATAGTAATAACTAAAATAGTAAAATACTTAAAATGTACAATCGGTGGCCGGTGCAATACTCAATCGACGCGCGTACGTTGTCGTTTACTTGTTGGCCGTTGCTCATTTGTACCACTAGTCACCGCCAACGCCACCGCCCGTACATCGTCCACTCTCGAAGAGTAGACAGTACTACAGTAGAGCAACCAACGCAAACGTGACGCCAATTGACTGGCAACGACGAGAAAAAAAAACTAAAAAATGTGTCGCGCAGGTGGCCGGTCTTGTGTCGGCGGCCACTCGATCCCACCGTCCACAGTTGTTGCAGTCGCGCCGTTCTGGCGCTCTCCCACGCGACGGCATCACCACCGGCCAAGGCGCCAACACGCGTTTTAATTATTKTTATATTTTAATGTATTTGTTCAATTTGTCGTAATTCGTTTTGCGCGCGCACGATGAGTCGTTTTTAACAAATTGATCGTGTTCTTGATAAATCCAATCCATTATTAAAGGCCACAGGCGTGTAATTCATTATTTCGTTTAACACGAAACGTAATATCATAATAATAATATAACATGATTTATAGCAATTTTACAATTATAATTTATAACACTATACTGCGCACATCGACATTAGTGATAATCATARATAATGTATTATAACTTTTAATGCTCAATAACATTATAATTATAAGTCCTTAAAAAATAAATCTAATTWTTAACTCGGTATGTGCATTTTCGACATTTTCTAAACACACCTATATAAAGGCCTCTTCTATGTAAACAGTTTACTAATGCAGTAAGTATATATGCGTGTGTGTAAATGTATAATATTAATACATTATACAACCTGCAACGCAATACATTATATATTTGACTAATTTGAATCCCAGCTATCTCGTTAGTCAGTTTTGGTTATGAGGTTATGACTTGTGTTYGGACCCAAAAGTAGGTGGGCAACATGATATATTAAGCACGCATACAATATACTATATACAGAGAATTGACGATTGTCTATTACATATAAGCGGGAAATATGTATAATCGTATTATGCAGGTATAAGGAAATAATAGCCAATAGAAGCCACCTGCAAAACCTGTATGGCAATATGCCTATATAATATTATGTATGATAACTACTTAAAATGCGCATTTTCATACGTCCATACTTGGGACGAAATTCTATAATTTAGCTTTATAATTTTTAATATTAAAGTGAAATTTCAATTCATCTAATAAAATGAAGCTTACAGGTAACAAAATTGTCAATTGTATATGGTTTTTGATATTTTTATGGGTGTTATAAGTGCTTATTGTTGTATATTATAATTTATAATTTATAATGATTCGCTTAAAAATTGAAATATCGATAAAACATATCCATCAAATCACATTTTTTTTTACTTTAAGTTTAATAGATAAATTCACTGTTACTCGGTATTTTTATTCTAACTAAACTAAATAAGAACGACTGGACGAAAATTTGATACGTAGTACATGTCTATATGGATGTACTTCACGTACTTGTAACTTGTAAGACGACTAAGACGGAGACTAAGTATTATGCATTTATGCCGGTGTGATTATATTGATATGCGTAATCAGTAGGTAATGTACATATTTTAGTATTTTATACTATTATAATGTTTAAATTAAAAATAATTACAGAGATTATCGATGAACATTTAATAATATAATATTAGTAATAATTTAGTGTGCAACATCGTTTTTATTTTTTCGATAATACAAAAAAAAAATGTATGTTTAAAAAATCATTATTTCAAGCTTGTAATAACTCATTTTGTACTTATTTTCAACAAATTATTTAGCCATGCAAGTCAATTTAAAATGAAATATTCATTCATAATAGATACTATACCATTTATAATATTTTATATAAGTTTCTCTAATGGTTTTATCCCAAATGACCTAAATCGTATATTAGGTATAGAAACTAGAAAGTATCAACACTGCAGTGTTTGACATGTCAACTACTATTAAAAAGTTATTTAGATAACAGTTACTGATGTCAAACGATGAATTTATTAATATAATTATTATGTGTATGGCCCATGTCTGTATTCCACATACCTAATGTACTCGTATATTGTATAATAACATTGATTTTATTCACTATATTACTATAAGTAATTGTATACTATACTAATAGTATTTATAATCAATTATAATACTAAATACGCTAATAATATGCTAAAATTCGCACACCATATTATTCCTTATTTGACCTGCTATGACTACTGAATAATATTTATAATATTATATTAAGATATTGTTTGACTAAAACCTTATAAGTGATAACTGATAACTGATAAGTAATAACTATATATTAAGATATACAATTTACATTATTATCTATTATAATATATTACCAGAGTGACCGAGTCTAAATAAATAATTCACTTTTGACATTTAAAATAGTAAAACATAAAAGCTGTACCTACACAATATGTATCATACTGACATATTAACCTTGAATACGAACTTCAGACACATTTTATGAAAATTTAAATGATTTGTATTTAGTTTGGTGATTTAAAATTTAGACTAAATACGTAATATACGTATTATATCTATGGTTTTCTATTATACTTTTATTTACTTATCAATAGTTTTTTTTTTCTTATAGCCCATTTACTAAATTGATTACTTTCGATTTTTGTAATAAAAATACACGTGGACTTAAATAGGTTTTGAAAATTAAAAATATTGGAATGGACTGAACATATACCTATATTTATTATATTTGGCGCGGGCCACAATGGAGGGAAATGTATTAATACTAGTATTTGATATTAAATCAAATGGAAAAAAAATGGTAGGAAGATCACGTCAAAGTTTGATGGACTATAAGACACCAAATTAAAAATGATATAAAATAATGATTACATTTTTGGTAAAAGTTATGAAAGGCTTAATAGCAAAATAAAATTATAAAACATTATTATTTATTATTATAATTAACTTACAAGTTAATATCACGTATACCATGTATATTATAGAACATCATATATAAACATTTTTTAAATATAATTGTACATGATATTAATAATAATATACGTAAAAGCAAAAAGTTTTAAGCCATCACGATTAACGAATATAATTTTTTGAATAAAAGCAAAATAACTGAAATCGTTTTTTGTAAAAATATTAAAGTTATATTAACGTTAAAAAGTAATATGATAATTATTACTGGTTGTGTTAAGCCAACTAAAATATAATTAGGTACTAACAGTACCTAACCTACTCTCAGTCCTTCCGAATATAAATTTTGAGTTAAATACTCTTGACAAATGTTTGTGATTTATGAATAGTATTATACGCTCAACTTTTTTTATTTTAATACAAAATTATATTATATAAAATAAATATAGGAGTAAATATAGGAATGAAAAATAATGTGGAACCTTTTTATTATTTATTTTGTATGTTATATTTAGTGAATAGGCCGCCCTGTAAGATATTACTCTGATTTGAGTATGTTAATGTATTTATTGCTTGTCTTTACGGTTCTAAAATTATAATAATTCGTGTTTGACATGTTTGTCAGTAAATGTTGTTGTAAGTGTAGAACTTAGTACCACACTTACCACTTACGTATTTTGCAGTGTACTACTGTCTAATGTCTAAAATCTAAATGTGATGTGAGCACCAAGTACCAACTGCCCCATTTGAACACGACAACTGATCAGTAACTAGCATGATTTAAGATATTGCCATAGAATAGATGAAATAGATATAGATAGATGATATTACTATCTCTGCAAACCGTGGTTAATTATAGCGTTTTCCATCATACAGCACTGACTGCACCAGTCCATATTTTTATGTTCCATCAGCAAGATTAATGTGCACTGAGACCAGTGTTGAGACTTATCTAGATAATTATTTAGTTATCTTTTATCTTATCTAGGTAAATATTTGAATTATATCTAAATAATTATCTAAGATAAAAAAATCATTCATCTAGATAAATTTATCTAGATAAATTCATCCCTATAGAAAAAAATATAATACACATTTTGATTGTCAATTTATTTGTATTTTACTAGCCAATACTTTAAATTTGAATTGACGAGTCATCTCAGTAAAAAAAAAAAAAAAAAATGTTCATAATAATGTTATTTATTATACAGGTATTATTTTTTATTATTGATATTTTCATTAGGGGCCCGGACACTGTGGTCAAATATACCTACATTACATTATTACGAATCGTGTAAAATGTGTAGTTTTTTCTTGATTTTGATACTTTATTTAAAAAATGTTTTTTTCAGTTATACCTTAGTTATTTATTAATAATAATGTCTACTGCTAACATTAATTTACTCATATAGCCGATGTTTATATAATATTGAAGTACTAAGTAGTATCAAAGGTGTACTTTTAAAATGTTTTGGATTTCAATGTGTTAAAAAAATTAAATTTATCTTTCTTGTTATCTAGATAATAATGTATTTATCTTTATCTTTATCTAGATAAAAAAGTACTTATCTAATMCCAACACTGACTGAGACTGAGTGGACTTTTTCATGTTTCACATCAATGCACTACGTTAGTTTTTTGCACCCAGCGCAATGATAAATATCTCAATACCCATTAAATATTTTATTATCATTATAATACATCAGTGATAAGTATAAATTTTATGTTTCATCTACRCTAAGTGTACAAGTCTTGTACCAGTGCAACCTTAGTGCAATAATGCGGTATGGTAGTAAACGTAATTATATAGTTGATAAAACAATTATAAATTTGTTTATTTATAAAAAAAATATCAATACCATGAATGGCCACCTAAAAAGATAAAAATATGACTTCTCATAATTTTTAAATATGCCGACTTAAGGTAAAAGTAAATGGTTGACTGGGACAAATGCCTAAGTAGCCCCCCCCCCAAATGACGCCACTGCTTATGCGATTTTAAACTATAGACGAAACATGAAATCGTGAAAATAAACGAATACCTCTGACCTATACGAATAATTATGATATATAGACGATAATAAAAACTAAAAAAAATATATTATTACTAATAGTTATTATAGGCATTTGCAATGTGCATCTTCGATTGACAACATAGTTAAGTATAGGTATCAGTGAAATGTGAATGGAATGTGATATAGAAGGTTTGCAATTTTATTATTTTTAGAACATGCAATATATTTTATAGTTTTCAGTCTTTGGGTGGGGTCCTGTATCTTCCACTCATAAATTTAGGCCACTGCGGTGCTGTTTAAAGTACAGTATACATTATATATAAATAATTATTTATCTTTTTTTTTTTTATCATTAAAGTTTTGAACATTGAACATCGTCTCCGGTGTATGATGATATATTATACTAGATGGATAGTTCAGTGACGTGTTTAGAAATGGTTAAAGAGGAGCACTATATAATAAAGTAATAAAATATGAAATCACAAATTACTATTAAAAAAATCTATGTTTATGACAAAATAAATGTAGCATTGATTCTAAAATATACTTAAATACATCCCTGTGTCTGTGTCCCCTTCCCATTTAAAATGTATAGTATTCTCGTCAACTTATTGGTATTTGGTACTAGAAAATAATAAATTTATTCTAAACAAAAATCTAATCGTCACGCTGCTTGAGCATCTTCCAA